CAAAATCGTCAAGTTCATTATCCTCATGCAACCTCACATGGGAAGGGATCAAAAGCAGACATTGCTGATCGCAAAAGAGACCAAACAGATGCTCACGTCACTCAGCCAAAATGGGCATTCTTCAAATCTTACTACGGGCCTGACTGCCTCGTCCGCCCATTCTTCCTATAAGGTGATGATTTTCATCCATGTTTGGATTAAACTGTAGATTTATTTTGAAAGTTTTTACTGAATACTACACACCCAAATTTTTTGTTCTGTGAACAAAAAATTTAAAATCATAATTAATGTTTACTGTTAAAATAGTATTTTTAAATGAGAGAGAGCAATATGATTATTATTTTAAACTTTCATGCTATTCAGTAGCTTTGAGTGAAAACTTGTGATGACCAATTTGGACTTTTAACTCTTTATGTTTTAATCAATCCGACTTGAATTCTTGGATTGTGGCCAAAATTTAAAAAAAAAAAAAAAAACCAGGGAGAGTGAGGACTCTTGAAACTTTGTTCTTTTCCTTGTTCAATATCAAATTGCCTTTTTTATTAAGGGTAAAAAAACCTCTTTGTTGAATAATAATATTAATAATTTAATGTATATTAGATTCTTTAAATAGAAAAAATTGTAGCTTTTTTTTTCATAATGACTACTAGAAAACAAGTCTCCCCCCGGGGGAAAATAGGACCTTAGTTATATCTAATATGTTTTTTCAAATCTAACTTAGGTATTGTATAACGCAGACTGTGTTTCAGATCGTTCTCCAAGTCAGATTAGCTTGGGAACTTCATAAGATTAAAGCGATGAGGCGCTTGAGTAGGAGCAATGGTAAAAAGTCACTATCAAAAAGTTTAAATGCACATAATTAATATTAAAAAATATAATATTTATTATAAATAATTAATTTAATTAATTTTTTAAATATTTATAAATTAGTTATCTAATTCTTGTGGAGTTATTATTACTTTCTACTACTAGTTTAGATATAGCGGTATTGATTTAGGGCATTCCCTTTTTGTTTTCCCACGCCTATAGTCTTTTACTTGGCTGAAATTGAAATTATGACTTAGATAGGGAAAATTGGGAAAAAAATTTCCTTAAAAACTTTTAGAAAGATCCAAATTAAATTATGGATACCTCATGTGTATGAAATTCATACAGTATTAGTATTTTTGTGTATAAAAATTTATTAGATCATTTTCACCTATAAAACTTTTAATAGAGAACTTTTCTCCTAATTTTTCCGTTTCCATATGAAACACACATGGTGCTTAAAATTTCCACCTTTGATTATCTTGCATGGAAAGAATTAAGTGGGAAGAAAAAAAAAAGGGGGGAAGAGAGAAAATAGAAAGGAAAGAAACAGAAGAAAATATTTTCATCATATAAAAAAGAGTAAATACCTAAATGACTAAAATATTTTTTCATATAAAAAATATATCCTGTTTAATATCAAAATTAAATACTGCAATTGAAAAATCATATGGATATTAGCATGATCAAATAATTTAATATCACTTTAGTAAAAATATAATTTAAATTCAAATTATTTGATAAAGTTATAGTTTGATGTTACTATATTTTAAAATCAGATAATTTAGATAAAAATGTCATTTTTTGAGGTAAGAAACAAATGAAAAGGGGATAATATTTTGAAATTAGATATAATAAAAATAAATAAATAAATTATATGTTATTTAATATTATTAATAAATTTTAAAAATATGATATAAAAAATAAAAGATAGTTGGCATGAAAGGAAAATGAGTCTCTCCCTGTTTTTTTTTCCTTCATATTTTCTCTCCTTATGTAGAAAGAAAATTAGAGCGCGTCTCACCCATTTTTCTCAAACTTGTTTTTTCTCGTGCTTTTTCTCTTATATCTAAATGAGGAAAAACTCACTTCTTTTCTTATTTTTATTCTTAGTTCTGTTCTTTACTCATTTATTCTCAATCCAAATGAGGGGTTAGTCTCATTCTCCTATATTTTTTCCTTGTAATGAAAACGGAGGTGAACAAGTCCAGAATTCTCAGTCTTTGGTAACATTTTACTCTGCAGGAATTAAATCAATTCCAGGTGAAGTGGTCCGCAGGATGCGCGAAAAATTCACAATGAGCTCAACTCCGACGAGGTAAGTACATAGAACGAAAACAAATATATCTTTAGAAGAATTACAACCAAGTCTTTAAAAACAATTACTAAAAGGTTTTTATAACAATTTAAACATTCTGAAATTTGTCGTTACATAGTAGAAGATAACAAATTCTTATTCTTGTTTTGTATTTTTTTCTTTCTTGGAACATTATTATAATTCTCCCTATATATATATTTTTAAATGTATACGTAAGCTCACTGCCTTTTTCCCCCACATACGTAAGCTCTCCTCTACAAATTATAAGTAAATTATTTGTAAATATTTTTCCTTTCCTTCAAAAAAAAAAAACAATGAATATATACCTATAGAAAATCTAACTTGTTTATAACATCTATAGATATGATTTTACGTCGTGCTGCATTCTTCAGCCTTCATGAGACTAATAATAACTCCATAATCATCATCATCTTGTTAATCCGTATTTTTATATGACTTTTCAGATTCGAGTATTATCGGGCTCAATTGAGAGTAACTCTGTCAAAAGCATTTTCTGCATTTACATGGAATCGAATTCGAGATTTTATGCGTCCAAAGCCCTTCTCACAAGAACCACCAAGGTAATTTATCTTTTAAATTTTCCATCCACAAATGAGAGAATGCATTTAAAATCTCAGCAGGTATTATCCAATTATTGAAGAATTTTCCTACTAGCCTTTTGGAATTTAGTTAAAATACTATAATTTTTTTTTTAAAAAAAAGTCTTTTGGTTCAACTGTGAATTTTCTACTTTTCACCTCTGAAATTGATTTGTAAATCCGGGAGTGATACTTGTCAATCTCTGTTATAGTCTTTGTAAAATTTATTAAGCAAATTTGTGAATACATTTTCAATGACCTTTTCATATCTACCCTTAGCTGATAAACCCGAATTATACCTTATAAAATATTTATATTGGAGCTTAAATTCCATATACTACCTCCGGTTCTTAATAGAACACCTTATTTGACTTTTATTTTGGTTCTAAATATAAAACCCCAATTCACTTTGTCTCTTATATTTATGCATTTTTTTTCAAAATAATCTTTCTAATAGTAGTAATTCTAACCAATACACTTAATTAGTAAAAATATTTTAGGAAAGACAACACCTATTTTTTACAAATAACTAACTTAATTTATTTCCTTAATCTCCTCAAATTAGTCAACTAGCTCTTATAATTAGGATCAGAGATAGTATTTTAGTTATGTTTTGAGAGGAATTCAGTGTGCTTTCACCTACTCTAATATTCTGTGGAATTCTCAGGTGTATGTGCAGCAAGAAAGGAAAACTGACGAGAGACATGTTCAACAACGGATAAAGAAGGAGATGGCACAGAAAAGAGGGAGGCGGGACGGGCGGAAACGCCACGCCATGGACGGAAGAGCAAATACACCTCACATGCGCCAAGAATGACGAGAGTAACATGAGAGCCGATAATTAGGACACTTTAGGAGTAATTGCTCTTAGAGATAATAAGCTTACTCAATATCATATTGATTAATTATAAAAAAAATATCATATTGATTAAGATTTTGTATTAGGTGACGACCAAAGTGTGTATATGTAGGGTCTTTGCCTGAGTTAAATGTGGGGGATGGTAAAATTCTCATCTAATATAGGTCCTTTCTTAAGCCCCAAGTGGAGTTTATCGTTCGCCTTTAATGGGTCTATGGTTTCACTTTTTTTTTTTTTTATTAATGAGAATTTGATCATCTTTATTTTCCATTGCTTAACAATTATTATTATTATTATTATAATGGGCTCATAGTTAATGCAAAGAGAAGTAACTAGCTGCTAGCAGGATGAATCCGAATCCTATTATGCTTCGGTGATTGGATATTTCTCTTGTTAAATTCATAGTTATTTTCTTATTTGCACTCTTCTCATTAATTTGATTTATGAATCAAATATTTCTCTCTTTTTCTCTACATGCAATGGGAATGGCAAAATCTATGCCTTTGTTCGACACCTAAAATACTTTTCTAATTCTAAATATAAAACCTATTTTATAGTGTAAATTACACTAAAAAATATATATATTATATTTAGGATTGGAGGGAGTATTTCAACAATTTATTATTGCGGTGCCATATACATTCTGATTAGGTTCTGTTTCTAGTGTGTGAGATTTGGCTGCATGTTTCTGCATCTGCTCTAATGTTGCATCCATTCTCAGAATCATCTCCCTGAGAATACTCATATCTCTCGCCCACCCCTCAATGCTCCCTCTCTCATCTCTTGCCTAACTCTAGATTATATGTTGAATTGCATATATTTTATAACAAAATAATTAATACTATATGTTCTACCAAAAAAAATAATTAATACTATATATATTTTAATATTTTTGTAACTCATATATCCAGCTACATCTTTGACTTCCAAGTTTAAAAATTCCTTTTAATATTTTTTTTTAAATATACAAAGGGCATTTAGGCGCACAGGTGATTATTTTGACACCGGAGAAAATTAGCTGCTGCCGTCAACAATATCAAGACAACTTTGATTAAATGCTAGGACTGTCTGAAATTAAGGTCTTTGGTAATCACAAAAGATAATTTTAAAAAATACTTTCACACAAATCAAAATAAAACTTATTGTTTATTTTGTTTATTATAAAATCACTTTTAAAATCATAATATAAAATCACTTTTAAAATCATAATTTAATTTTCTTCTAAACACCTCCTAAGACAAGTTAGACAAGTTTTGAGCAGCGTATCTTTATCAAATGGAGCACAACTGCGTCACGAGATTCAAAAAGCCAGAAGCTATGCATTACCACCAAGGGTTGGACAACACAACCTAGGAAAGAAACCTTTACCACGATTTTTTGACATAATTATGGATTTCAGGTAGGATAACGCAGAAAACCCTTCAATATTTTCAAATTGTTATCCGTTGATACAACTCCAAATTTGCCTCTAGTTCCTGAAAACAGGCAATTTGCAATTGTGTATGGCATGAAAAAGTAACTAGACATGCTGATTCTAAGCAGCTGTTTATCTTACAAACTACAATTGATATTAGCATGGGAAGAGGATAGGACTGGGGTCTCTCTCTAACCTACTGCTTGATAAATCTAGTTTTTTCATCTTTTCTTCGCACCAAAATAACTGTTCTTTAGTGATTCTTGTCATTCTGAGAACCCTTGATATGATTTTGACGTCAATAAGACCAAGAAATAGTTGAATGTCTTCAGGCTTTTGGGGCCAAGAATTCTTTTTCCAGCTCTTCTTTCTGGTCAGTTCTTTCAGTTTCACTGCTTTCTGCATTCAGAAGTAAAAATTAACACTAGAGACATTCCCTTGGTTACATAATTGATCATCCATGATCAGATTCTTGAATAAGTTTAAACCAGACCTTGGAAGTGTAAAATAGCTACTCATGCACAGAATTAGTGGATAATGGAATATAAGCCAATAACGCAATGCAATATTTAACCAATTAGCAAGTTAATTGCCTATAACAAGTCTTACAATTGAACGGACAGATGGCCAAGCTCACATTGTACGGTACATGCATTGAAGGCTAATCAAATGATAACACTTGGATACAGTTCTTTAGATGTTAGGTCTTTGATATCAGATTTTCTACTAAAAATATGACATGCAGAGGATTGTTTTTCAAATATTGAATCATGTGTCTTGAGTAGTAAAAGACATAATTTGTCATGTTGTCCTAGAGGAATATGATAACAAACACTTCAAAACTATAAGTAGTTCTTGTTCATATGATGCAAACTTGGAGTTGGAGGTATAGCATCTGATTTTACCTTTTCAAGACTAGATTGGACCTGGTGTAGAGGAGTTGCCAGATGGTTCTGATTCCCAAACAGATTGATGACACCACTTGGTTTCTTTTTGTCTCTTTTCAGGAACAGATAAAATGTGAGGATGGAATGTTCGATTATCCCGATAAGATCAGGAGCGAGAACTCTCATCTCCGAATCTTCTTCTGCTGACGGTTGATCCAAACCTGAACAGATTCAAACGTTTGAGCACTTATCCATACTAACCACAAACACCAGAGACAGACTCATGTTGAACATTTCAGAGCAAAATAACTTTTCCTAGAAACATTTATAAATGCAGATATATCCATGGCACTCTGATTGAATGAAAATGATTTGAGGAAAACTCACCTTGAATATTAGGAACCTGAAGCAATTTAGGCAAACTGTTCCTTGTTCGAGCATAGACTTCAGCCCTGAGACCCTGCTCAAACGGTTCATTCTCAATAAACCTTTGTAATAGAACCTGGAACTGCTGAAACTGCTGAGCACTGTGGTTGTAACAAGTAGGATTTTCAGGTTGCCAAGATATCTTCTGGCTCAGCTGGGTGTATTGACAGTGAAGTGATTCCCAAGTCAAGCATATCTGACCAACGTATGCTGTTTCAATATCCATGTAGGGATCATTTTCAGGCTTTTGAAGATGCTCAGTATCATCATCAGCTTCCTCGAGCTTTTTCAAGGAAAGACACCGAAGGGGTGATTGCAGCTTCTTCGATGCTGATCTTGGTGATGGAGAAGAAAGGTACTGGGAACCTGTAATAGTGATGCAGAGGCGCCACATAGTGTATATAGTTAATAAGAAAACAGAAGTATCCAGGTTGCTATCTCCAAATAATAAACTTTTCAGTTAACAAGCAATCAGAACTAATTCTACCTTCCTGCTTCAAGAATGGCAAGATAAAGAACAATCATTATATGAACTTAGAACATGGTATCATGCAATGATAAATTTAGGACACAAAAGGCAGCCTTTAACTAACTGAACCCAAAATCCAAGTTAACTAACTGAACCCAAAATCCAAGTACATCTTCAGAAACTTAGGTAGTATTTGAAAATGTTTATGCAGTAAGGAGGGAGCAATAGGTTACAATATACCTTTGCCAACTTCATTAAGCTGTAGTGTGCTCATCCGATCAAAAAACAGCATTCTTTCACAATATTTTTCAAACACAGCATCGAAACCACGCCACCATCGCTGACCTTCTGCCTCTACATCCCTCCATTCGTTAGAGCTTGACTCTCCTTCCTCTTCCTCATCTTCATCTTCCTCTTGACAAGGTTCTTCTTCAGGAATCAATACCATGAAACTGTTTCTTCTGAGTTCCTTCAGCCTCCTCTTTACTTCATTTGTAATGAAATCATCGTCGTCATCCTCCGCTTCAGCAGCAAGATCTGCATTAACTGATTTAGTTTGATCATCACCACCGTCATCAAGTTTTGGCTCACTATGTTCTGAAACTGGCTTATCCGCTACATCATTTTCTCCATGCGCCTTCTGAGCTTTCTTTGTCTTCTTGATTTTGAAAAAATCCATGCTTTACAAACTATTCTTCTAAATTTTTTTTCAAACCAAACTTCCGAATGCTGGTCTTTCTTTAAGTTCAAAACCTACAATAACATCAAAATCAAATGACTAAATAAATAGACTAAAATTACTGGGTACACCCAAATGCCCCATTTTGCTCACAAATTCTGCTTCTGCCTTGAATTTTTTTTCTTCAAAAAAATATATCTTGAACAAGATGTTTAACAACAAGGCCCGAAGAAGCACAAGAGCTCAACTCATTTTAAGTTGTAATGCCAAAAATCTGATAGGAAACTTTCGGATATTTTAACTCCACTAATATAAGAAATTACTGACCTATTGTATCAGGAAGAAAAAATTGATGGGAAAATGGCATTCCTTCTACATATATATTTGCTTTTTTTTGGGGGGGGGGGGGGATGTACTTTTGAAACCCCCCAAGTGCGGTGATTAAGGGATTGAACTTTCAAGAATATTCCAGAAATTGCATCTTGAATGATGCTCAGAATCAGAAGATGAAGCATATACCTTTGGAATAATGGGGATAACATCTATAAAACACCAAACTACTGATGACCACTTGCAGATTCATTCTATATTGATGTGAATGAATCCAGCTGCTTTAGCAGCATGAGACAGAAAGCAACCGGCAAAATTGATGTTCTTGAAAAGTAGCAAGAAGCATCACAAGCAGCGATAACGATCACGATACACCCTTCACCAACTTGTCGCCATTTAAACGTCTCAAAAGAAGAAAAGAGGGGGGAATAAATCCACCAAAAAGAAAAAGATCATAAATGATTAAAAAGTACATGCAGAAACCAAATGCCCCATAGGACGAATGGAGCTGTAGGCAGTGTGAAAACACAAAAGAGTGCAGACTTGGTGAGAGAAACCCTAGATAGACAGACGGAGAAAGAGCTAGCTCAGTGAAGAGTGAAGAAATGGAGGGAAGAGAAATGCAATAAATGAGAGCCCTTAAGCTCGCTAATTACTTCCGGTGAGGATTGATTTTGAAATTAAAAAAGGATATTGTGAAAGATGAATTAAAAAAAATGATGCATTAACGTATTGGATTTTTCCGGGAACGGGAGCGCGAAAGCCTAGAAAGAGAGTGTCACAGGAGGAGACAGTGTTATCGTACAGAGAATATTGTCAGTCAGGCATTAAGAAAGCCGGGAAAAAGTGATTTTGATTCGTGTAAATGAGGCTGAAATTATGTTTTTGACCTCCGTCAAACTTCATAATGACGGACTGGTCCGGGCGTTTAGCGGGAACGAATAAAAGTAAAATGTTCCGTTGCCGGGAATCGAACCCGGGTCTCTCGGGTGAGAGCCGAGTATCCTAACCGACTAGACTACAACGGAATGATGACAATGCGCTGCCAAATAACTTCACAATTTTATATGAAAAATACCCCGTTATTTAATTAATCATCAAGCAATAAAACATCATTAATCTAATGGAATTCATGCTGATTGGGTTAAGAAACTTTACATCCTCTTTCTTCAAAAGTATATACAAGTTTGTGCATGCAAGTCTTAAAAAGAACCGTAATATTCATAACATCTATATAATTTTGTTATAAACTTTATATTTTATTATATTGATTTACATAATTCTATAAATATGAAAGATTAATTCAAATGTTCTTCACTTAGTACATAGAATCAAGTATACATATTACATGTGATACAATAATTTTTAAGATTATAGGATATAGTACAAGCATATATGTTTATGTTTATATATATATATACACACACACACATGTATCCTTTTATATGTATAATCAGCAAGCCAACTCGTCAAAAAGATTTTTAAAAAATAAATATAAATACTTGACAAGTTATAGCATACATGTTAAAAAAAAAAAATGCATGAATTTTACAATGGCTTATAAATAAAATATTTATTATTTCTTCTTAACACAAATACGTCATTTGACATGAAGAAAAATGCAAAATCATGAATCATCACATTTCTACAAACATTTCAGAGATTTTTCTTGGATCTTATTTCAAAAAAATCAAAGTTATCATTTTTTTATTGCAAAAATTTGAAGAGAACTTCGAATGAGATACTTGTATGTTTGCTGGAGAGTGCATATCCAATTTTACATTGAAGAGTGTATCTGCAAATAGATCATAATGACGGGAAGCTATTTGAATTTTCCCTCTTTCAAACCTCGCAATTATTAAATGAAAATAACAACGTATTTTCAATGAAGCTTAATCTAAAGTAATCCCGTAATGGTGTTTAACTGTTTTTTTCTTTTTTCTTTTGGGTTGGGGGGGATCTGAGAAATCTTAGGTCAACCTACTTTCAGAAGGCGGGGGCATATAATAGAATAGTTTCTAATAATCAAAGTCTTACAGAAATTTGTTTTTTGGGTGAAAGTCTTACAGAAAATTTGAAGATGTACAATTTCACAAATGAAATGAACCTATTAATAGAACAAAACATCTATTACCATGACGTTATATAATAAAATTATTACATTCAACGATTGAAGGATAGTCTTATAAATGCCACAGTCGAATCTAGTTTCTCTCATGGTTTTGCTCAGTCCTAATCTCCCAAGGCTTGGCAAACTTCACTTTAATGGCTGAAACTTGAAAGGAGCTATAGATTAGCCGTCGTTAGAATCCCAACCAAGTAGGTGGTATTGGCTGAAACCTGCTCTTGGCACATGCTAAAGTATCATAGTAATCTACATGGTTGAAGCAATCACGGAAATCAGTGAATAGCTTCTCAAACACCCTCCATTGGACTTTGACTGATCTAGTGTATGGATATGGCAGAAAAACCTGCTGAAAGTAAACCCAAAAATAAAACTAATATTCAGATTCTCGATGAGGAACAAAAAGATTGGTTGTATTAGCCTCGTGGGAAGAATATTTTGTAAGACCAACATGTACGCTCTTCTTATCAAAATTAGATTCTCTCATGGAATTGGATGGTTCTGTGCAGAGCATTTTATCGCAAGGTTCCAATAACACAAGGTACTCTTTTTATTTTTTCAATTGGGAACAGCAAGCAAAAGCTTGATACAAATCAGGAGAGTAGATTTGTGAGTCTTATCTCCTTTCACGTGCATATTGAGCTGCACAGACTAGAACAACGGAGTCAACATACATGGGAGTTATATTAGCATCATGAGCATTCTTAGCAAGAACATCTGCATATCAACGCTTCTGTGTGTGTGTGTGTGTGTGTGATGGTGTTGGAAATAACACAACGTATTAATATACTCTGAATAGGCAACAGCTAACACTAGATTTACGTCTCAGGCTTTCTCAAAAGCGATCACTTTACCAGGTTGAATAGTAGAATCAGCAGAACTGAAATTTTTTTCTTTGAAATATAACCTTTTTTGAAAAATAAAATCAGTACAGCTCTTAAAACAAGACTCGTTTTCTTTAACTAGGTCATGCATCCAGGTAGCTTCCAAAAGATAAGGCTAGCGAGGAAAGAAAGGGAAATTCTAGGAGAAAACTTAACGGGCATTGGTCTTAGTGGAAGAGGTTTTGACTGCTTAAACATGAGGTCCTGAGTTCAGGTCCGTGTAAACGCACCCAAAAAAAAAAAAAAGGTCTTTAGGAGAGCTACCCCTAATTGAACCCAATAATATTTAGATCTAATTCAATCAAATAGCCATACTTAAAAATAAATAAATAAAAAATCAGCAGGTATAGTAGTAAAAGCAACACTTACATCCCCCTCCTGGGCTAGACGTTTAAGTAAGGCAAATGTGCGCTCATTTTCCTCCAAATTGTCTAGAACAGCTAGCCATATTAGTGACGCAAGCTCATGGGCTGAGTCTCTTGATTTCCCACAAGCAATGAACTGATCTGTAAATAGCCAAGTAATTTTTACAAACAATTATACAAGGCATTAACAAAATGTCAGCTAGACGACATCATACAAAAAGGCTTGACAGGGCTTGGTTGGTTTAACTCGCAGTTCTGGAAAAAGATCAACGTTATTACCGTATAGATTTAATTTGATTAGAGTCTATATATATGCACAAAGATCTGTTGCATCGTGTGGAATAGGCATTCAAAAGCAAAAGGAAATCAACAATAAAGAAGCAGTTAAGATCAGAAAACAGTTCAGTTGAAAAACAGTTAATGACAGAAAATTTTAATATATGTTCTTTATTTTGACTATGTTAGTGTTTATTATAAATGCAATCCGATGATGCACAGGCCTTGAATACCAAAAAAGAAGACAAAATGAAAGCAGAGAGGCCACACCAATAATGGTTCCATGAAGTATTCCGCTGTGAGGTGGCATAGTTGGAAGTTCAAGCTGCTCTTTCAAAAATAGATAAACATGGCCAACAATCTCATCTACCTCACTGTCCAAAGCAAATATTTGTTTACTTATATAAAAGGCCATAAATCTCCTGAAACGATATGAAGACAATGTCAGAAACACATGCTTTGCATATCCTAAATGCATAGAACTGGGGAGCTTAGATTACTTTAAATATCAAAATAACATATAAAGCTATAAATTTTTTGTCTGCAAATGAGTATTTGATTCTGACAGAAGTCATTACAGAAATACAGTCATCCTGTCTGAGTAACTGCAAGAAGTAAGAACCGAATTCTACATACTATGATATGAATATTGTAAAACAATAGGAATGACAGATGTATAGATAATTGTCAATATTATTATTGTTTAGGACAAACGGTATCAAAGCATCATATATACTTGTGGAAGCGAGATTCGCTGAAGCATTTTGTCAAGCAGTAATCAAATAACTCAGTCTTCATAAAATAAAACTGGGCTTTGAGATGTTAAATAATTCCAGATGTTCGATGTGGTTGTAATGTGTCACAAGGAAAGTATTGAATTAGAAAAATGCTACCTCCTGCTTAAACCTCGAGGAATAGGCCCAGGCCATCTTCGAGCTTGATCTGCCAAAGGAAAATTCTTAGCTAAAGCTGCCTGCCACAAGCATTCACGACGAAAAAGACTGGCCCAGTGCTTTTAACACAAGATATCTGTGGCCAGTCTTTAACTGGGACTCTAACGAAAATTTCTATCAACAAATGATCAGGCAGCCTTCCAAATAGATTTTCGCTCGACAAAGAATCCTCTTCATCACAATTATTGGTCATTAGAAATCTGCATAGAAAGAATCTCGAAAATACTATAAACGAAGTAGAAAAGGCAAACAAACGAAACCAAAGAGAATCACCAAACAAGAATCCGAGAAGAAACCCATGTTAGTTTCTAATCGAACGAACTCAAAGTCCTCTACTTTCCTCGAGAAAATACTACGATTATCACAAGAAACACAAATTTTCAGGTGTTGTTTATAGTTAGTACACTGAAGCTATGTAAATTGGAGGAATCCAGAGGACGTACGTGCTTCCAGAAGCAGACGGCGGAAATCAGAGAAAGCGGTGAGCTTCGGACTGCGGAGTTTCCAGCTGAGTTTGGTACTCGTGAAATGATTTCTTCTCACGCAATGGACGGTGGGTGAAGTATTGATTTGTTTTTGTTCTCACATTCTGATTATTTATTACGTCATATTTCCCCCCTTTGAATTCATTTAATCTTATTTTAAGAAAGCAAAAATTAATTTTCTGAAATATTATGAAGTGTTGAAACTTGAAAACTCCATTTGTGGTAGGCAGTGGCTGAGGACGTATGTTGATTCTGTTGTTACTGTTGATCTCGTCCCCCCTCTCTCAAACGACCAAAAGACAAGAAAATATTAAAAAAACGGAAAAGAAAAAAAAAATTACAACTCGCACTGGGTTTTCGTTATTTGGCTAAAGGACAAACAGAAAGAGCAAGCGTCACGTTGGTGATAGTGTCATTTAAATAAAATAATGAAAAAGGGGACTCACATATCAGTTCCCAAAATTTAACATTTATTACAGTAAAAACCCCTTTTAGGTGGAACTTATTTGTAACAGTCCTGGTAATGAAATTTATACATGAATGATGAGCGTATCCAAATATGTAGCTAAAAATATTGTATTATTCCTATAACTTATTAATACTAACAACTAGTGTTAAGTACGGTGGTAATTATCGTTTTTAAATATTAAAAAAAAGATTCTTTGAGAACATTGCTCAATTTATATCTACATGGTTACATGTCTAAAACAATAATGTCTTGAAGTTACATTATAAAAACAGGTATGGTGTTGACAATGACATTGTTGTCTTGTTTATAACCTTAGGTAGGGCTACAGTGCACAGACTGGACAGAACCAAAGCCCAACCCGAAGTCTGGTCTGATTTTTAGTTGGGCTGGGTTTGGCAGTCTGTGGTCAGGTCTAGTCCAGTGGTAAACTGAGATCAGGTTGGACTAGACTTGGTCCACCAAACTGGTGGACTGGTCTAGACAATCCGGGTTTCTAATTTTTTTTAAGTTTTTTTCTTTATGGGAAGTAAGATTTCAACATGATAAATACAATGTAAAATAATAAAAAATACCTATAATCATATGAAACTCATCCTAAAATATTAAGACTTCATCATAAATACATAAAAATCTCTAAAAACATTAAAAAATTAAAGGTAACATCCAAATTAAATTATTGAAAAATAAAAAATTCACCTAGACTAGACTGAACTAGACCAATCCATGTGGTCTGATCACTTGGTCCGAAACCCACTCCAACCTAATCAACCAGACTTGTCTAATCTATTCTAATTTCATTATATAGTTTATTTGGACTGGACTGGACCGGGCCACTTCAGGTTGGACTGGACTGGATTGGATCACCGGGTTTTTTCACACCCCTAATCTTGGAGTCTACACTTGAACATGTACAAGTGATTGGATGCATTATGCTATTTTGCCTCTTTGAGTTATCTTGTTATAACTCATTTGAATGATTTTCGCCTACTGTTTTTTATGAGATATCTGTATGAATATGAAGTGTAGAATTAGGTTGTGAGCTTTCGTAGTAAAAATTCTGAGTCAATTTATTAGTCCATGTGGTAAAAAATCAGCTTGTCACTTATAAAGTTGTGAGTTTGAATCTCGTTACTGACACAAGAATTTTGTTAGTGAACAATCTGCAAGTTTTGTTTGATTATAAAGGCATGTCCTAATCTTGATAAACTCTTAAGATGCAACTTATCTAGACTTTTTTTGTACCGAAAAAATTGGAGTCAGGTTTCCTTTCCATCCTTCATGCTTAAAGAACCCTTGAATGAGCTTTGGATATCATCACTTTTGAGTTTCAAGCACATTCATCTATTCTGATATGATTCAATTGATCATTGGTCTTAGATGCTTGAAAATAATATTTTATTTTACAAGATCTAATCTTAACTCGGGAGTGAATCTGGTAAGCGGAGTAAATTAATGTGCTACAGTTGAGGACTTCACGTCAAGGGAATGGGTCGCCGTTCTGCTTTGATGGCGTCCGATCTTCATCAATTATCACTCACCTATTGATAACAACGTCACTGTCATCACCATTCCTGCTTTGAGTTTCAGATTCAGATTGAGGCTCCTTCTCCAACACACTCCAACTTGTTATTCGTGGAGGGATTAATTCCAGTTTTTTGGGCGGAAACAATCTGCAAACTGGAGGGAACAAAGTGCAAATATTTTTTTCCCCCATACTTGGTCTCAATTGTGGTCGACTCATCGTATACATGAAAGTTTTTATACTTTTATCTGGAAGAATCCATATATGATATCTGGCTCGGGTCCTCATATTAAGAATAAGAATAACTAATTTATAAATATTAATAAAATTAGTTAAGTTAATTATTTGTAACCAATGTATTTTTTTTTTTTAAATACTGTTGTTAATCATATGTATTGGAATAAAAACATTTTAATATACAATTACTCCCCCAGATCCTTATTAAAGGGGTTATTTAGAAGAAAATTTTGATCTTTATTATGAAGAGTCAACAGGGTTATTAATAATTTTTTCCTTGTTTACCCCTAATTACAAATTATTATTATTCATGTAAATAACTTTTCATTAGCTCTTTTAAGGGCCTGTTTGGATAACATAAGAAACTATAGTTTGGGTCCCAAATTTGTCAAACCGAGGGATTAACAAACCATGATTTTGAACTCAAAACGATGGTTTCAAAAAAAGTGAATCCATTCTACTTTTGGCTCAAATTGGAAAATATGATTGCGCCTGTTAAAATAGATCTTAATAATAATATGACTTTAACATCTCTCAATTATTTTTTTACAAACATATTTAATTTTATATTTTATAAATATATATACACATATTAATTATTTATTACTTATATTATCTTATATATTATTAATTATGTTGGTAAAAATATACTATTAACCATTTTATTTCTTCAAATTAAAATATATTATAAAATCTATCTTTTATATAATTATCATATTAACCTATGTCTTTTTTAGTAATTTGCACATATAAAAAATATTTCTGTTAACAACTATCAAAATACTCTTATTTTATCATAATCACTTTTTCACAAAATCTATTCTCCTAAAAATCCATTTTTTAGAAGTTATTCCCTAAACCATAGTTTGGTTATATCCAAACACCCTCTAAATTTGCTATAAGGGTAGTTTTGAAAAACTTTATACTTTGGGAACACATTTAATGATATAACTATCATTTCTTAGTTTATGTGAATTAACTTGTTGATCCATTATAATAAGGAGAAAAATGAATAAATCTAAAAGACAAAGTAAATTAAGGTATTATATTTAAGACTAAATTGAAATTTCAAATAGCTCTTATATTTAGAAGGGGGATAGTAAATATTTTTTGGGAAGAAAGAAAAACAATGATGGAGAAAGAAAACTTTCTTTATCCTCTTCCCTCCCCCCCCCCCCCAAAAAAAAAAAACAAGAAGAGGCACGGAACCGGCAAGTTATTCAATATTCATTACTCAACCAAATGATTTCGCTAGAATGAGACCCTCAAACAAATGATAGAAGCCCTCAACCACCCAATTAAATGTGGATTATACATGTTATTTTGATGAGTGTGTGAGGATTCAACGAACAAAAAAGGGCTGTTAAGTTACCTGCAATTTTTATGAAGCAGCATAATAAAATAAAAATCGAACCTTTTTCTTGAGAGAAACACAGAGCAAAACATAGTTCACTGGCCGTGAAAATGGAATATTTACCACGACTGAGATACTTGATGCAAGGATAAGAAAACATCAATAATTCTGGGCATATAAGCCTTTGCCAGTTTGCCTGAAGAATTGATTACTTGCTCTCCGTATTGCTTTGCTACTTGCATAAATATTGGCTTGCTGAGAACAGTTTCCAATTATCGCAAGTATTGCTTATCAGTAAAGAGACTGGGCTCTGGTAAACACAAATACTCCTCCTCCACCAACCGCACGACCCAAAAGCAAATTATTATCCAAATAAGATAGATAATATAGCCCTCCTACTGATTGCCTAATTCCAAATAAAAAAACAGTTATTAGACTTGTCCCATGATAATTGGCTTTTTTCCCTTACTAGAATAGCACATTACATACCTTCCAGGGTCCCGTACGGGGATTTGAGCTTTGAAAGTACGGAGGAATTGTAATATCTGCACAGGCATGTATACATAACATAATTAAAAAATAAAATGAAGTCTGTAAGTAACAGCTTGCGTGCGAGTGCACACAAAACTTCATTCATTCATATAAAAAGTGAGTCTTTCACAAAAAAAAGGTGAGTCACCAGATTTTTTAACAGACTCTGCTTCATGAATAATTTAATGAATGTCAATGAGATCTCGAATGCTAGTATGAAGTAGAAAAACCAAATACAGCTGCTTAATGTTGAATCCATTACCTGCAAGCTTATAAAAGACCGTGGTAGTATTGCTGGAGCTATTGCAGCCTGTAGCTCCTCGCTAATAATTATATCTTGGAGTGTGATCTGCGAATATTGGGTAACATAAAACACTGATTATAGAAGAAGATATCACTTACAATAAATATCAATAGTGGAAGAGTCTTTTCTTCTGTGTCAGAGATGATGCTCATATGAATTTTGAGGACAACATCATCTCCACGTGTATCTTGTCAGTTTATGTTAAACTATGCATATATATTAAGCTTTAAAACTTCCTTCAAGAAATTAAATTAGATGCATGCACTGAATGCCATCTAACCATGGGGCAGAGGAGAGTTTGCCAAAATATTAACCGTTGAATGACTATTAAAAAATATGGTTCTGCCACTCAATAGCTGTCAGAGATAAACTTTTGGTCTCTTAAATTTTTTCCCCTTGAGCCTTCAGATAGCATATCTTTATAAGTATTTCTTGTATGTGCAAGTTATCTGCACTACCCATTTCACTATGAAATCATTTGAGTTAGTCTTCAAGAAAATAGAAAAATAAAAAACTGAGAGGGATGCCCGTTTCTTCAACCTGAACAAGAAGTCCATTTGTTCCGGCAATTAGTACCTCAG